CCCCAAAACCCCAAAACCCCAAAACCCCAAAACCCCAGATAATTTAGGCTCTATATAATACCTAAATACTTAAATGGAGCCTCCAGGTACAAGGAAGAAAATACAGGAGGGTACGGATACAGAAGGTGAGCTATGATGGTACCAGAATGACAGTCCTTAGCCCTTTAATACATGGATGAGGAGGCTGAGGAATACTCTGTGGGGAAGAATACTAGTGACATCTGAAAGATGTATCCCGTAGAGAGCGATAGGTCGCTTGGTAAATTACAGCGAGGAATACTGGGATAACGGATCAGTACATTTTAGAGTTTAGCCTCTGTTTGGCTCAGAGATTTTACAAATTTGTAAATTTATAGCAATGTGAACTTTTTGATACAGAAATCAACCAATATATTAGTGTATCTTGAGCTTGAAGATATGTGAAAAGTTGATAATCTCAAGTATAGATCCAATAAGTCGAAAGCTAGCACAGAGAAGAGAGTAAGATGTCTTTCAAGCAATGCAGTTCTATTTGTTTCAAGAATAGCTACAAAGAGTATCTTCTGCTTGGAGTTGGCAACCATAATTCATAAAGTCTATGTTTTGAGCTGATCTACCATTCTTGTGTTTAGTCTAATTCCCATCCCTTTATTTAAGATCATACGGTTCTATGAATGGTCCTAACTTTTAGTAGTGCATCAATTAGCTATCATTAGTCCGTTTTGCAATCTTTGGGTGTTGTAAACAGCCATATTTAGAAATGAAGAGCAAATTCAGAAAGAATCAACCGAGATTGACACTCAAAGTTGTGTTAATCTCCATTTCAACATCAAGAAACTCAAATTAGAACTTGATTCAAATTTGGATCTTTACTTCTATATTAATCGTCTCAAGTAGCTTCATCAGAATTACCTAATTTAGAGATTGAAAAGTGCTAAAACAACTCTCCCGTTTTATGATGCCTTCAGAGTTAAAACTTTCATTTATTAATCAACCTTTGACAGGTAGCCATATGAAAGAGTTTCTATCCAAATCCATTCCAGCCGCAATTGAAGAAATTATGATTGCCAGAAATAAATTTGATAAATCTCCTTCGTACTTCAACTTGGTCCTTCGTGCCAGTATGCACACAACAGCAAGTGTGCAGGTGAATTATTTTAGAAAGTAAGCTCGATCAAATATCTGTAGCCTGAACATGAAGCAGCTCAAGAGGCTGTTCTCAGCCAATAAGCATACAAAATCTCTTACCATGCTCGATTGCACATTTCGCCTTCTAGCTTGCCCAGACTTTTCAGATTGATTCAGAGACACAACTCTGTCCTTACTTAACCTATTTTATGTGGGGGTAGTAAACAGAGATGAGGTAGATGAGCACTTACATGAGCTGGATAGACTGATTTCAGGCTTATCTAAATCCCCAGATCTTCATAAAAGCATCAAGAAAATTGAAATTATCACCTTCAAAACCTCCCAGCAGCAAGACGATCAAGTTCTAGCGAAGTATGGGTTTCCTTGTGACTAATAAGTTTCAATACTCTTGTCTTACGGTTCTCCAATTTCTTCCATCCTGAGGCCTCATAGTGGTTAAAATAAAGCATTAGAGACATATCTTGTCTAGTCTAGTCTTAGGTTACGCAAAGACTTTTGTATTCGCCTTCTCAATTAATGCAAGAGAGAGCTTTTGAGGACAAGAGATAACTATTCGCATTCCTCAGTCAAGTTCTAAAGAGCTTGACTGAGAAGCTATTGATAATAAATTGGTACTCAAAAGAGGGAATATTTGCTCGCCTTGAGCTAAGGAGCAAGAATTAAAGATCAGTCGTCCAAACCCTCTGAAGCATTTGTTAAACCAAAAATTTTCAATTTATACATCACTTCAACATTACTATTCCTTCCTGGGGTTTTGGGGTTTTGGGGTTTTGGGGTTTTGGGG